TGTGTGTGTGTCCATGTATGTGCTTTGCCGCTCAGCATGATGAGAGATCATCTTCGTGGTCAGCATGAGAAAGCATCCATCCTCCTCTTTCAATTCAGACTAGACTAGCTGTGCCGTCGATATTCGAGAGGGAGTTCCTGGTTATCTCTGGCGCTCTGGGAGAAACATCTTACATTTCACGCCGTCCAATGACTCTCAGTCTGGGCTGGTATCTTGACGGCACTTTATCAATATCCATCTAGCTGTCTAGCCTTCATCCCGCGGTAATTACGATACACCACCCCCCAGATCGAACCCTGTGCTCTGTGTTGGACAGGCCTTGATCTGAATACGGGCAAAGATACTGGCAGATGCATACCTATCCAGGTTCATATCAGAATATCCGAACCTGGCCTGGCTGCCCCTCTCCTCGGCACGGCAGTCAATGCACAGCGCACAAAAAGCGCCCAGCGCCAATCGCCTTCATTTCCTTCTCTCCTGAAGAAACCCGGCAATGACCAGGGGGGCCCTACGACCACTAGACTGACAAGTCAAACGATCACTGCACGCACGCATGCATGGACAAGGGGGCCTTTTTCCTTACCTACCTAACTTAAGTGCTAGAACTACTGTACTGTACAGTACCGTACCGTTTGTACTGTTGGTAACCTACCTTGCAGTAGGTTTGGTGAACCCGGGGGAGGGACCCGTTGCTCCATCTCATCTCAATCTCCACTGTACCTTATTATTACCCTATCTTACCACTCTCTCATTATTACTTTCTCTTTGATATTCTTGTGCCTATCTTACCGATTTTTGCTTCACCCGTCGTCGTTTATTTCTCTTGTCCTGTCTTGTCTTTCGTTTCTGGAGATTGGACTTACAGCAGCGGGCTTTCCCATCTGACGACGAGGCGACGAGCGACTCCTAACCGCCGTCAGACCCATCACCACATCTTCCTTTTCTTCCTGAGCCGAGCCGATTCGATCTGGCCTGGCAGCGCTAGGCGCCAGAGTTGCACTTGCACTTGCATTTGCTCGACTCGATACATCACGGGCGGTCTGAGCCTGACTGACTTGACTGAGTCTCGGTCTCGACCCGGGGCGCGGATGCCGCCACTGAGGGCCATGCTCAACAAGATGCGCTCTCCAGCGTTCCCTCCACGCCGGCCGTCGGCCCTCCTGCGGTACATTGTCGCCGGCGTCGTCATCACCCTCTGCCTGTACTGGATGAGCGGCCCCTCGGCACCCTTCCCCTCGCCCTCGACCTCCTCCACAGCATTCGCCCCGAACACTGGTGCGGAGGCCAACTATGCGCCCGCCGACAAACCTGAGGACCTACCTCAAAAGGCCCAGGAGGAACCAGCACCGATATATCACGATCAGGAGCCGGAGGAGAAGAAGAAGCAGGAGCCTCTTGCCGAGGACAACTCCCTCGCAGATGATGTACGGGAAGGAAATGCGGCTCCGGTTCTGGCGCCAACCACGACGACAGTAGCAGCAGTCGCCGCCGAGACGAACACACAGGCCAAAGCCCCAGCAGCCACGACGACTGGCCACCCGATCGAGCACCTCATCTCGAGCGCCGAAAAGCAATTCGCCGATGTCCTCTCCCAGGAGTCCCGGTCCCTCGCCGACGCTGCTGCCGCCTACCGCAAGCAGCGCGGCCGACATCCCCCGCCGGGCTTCGACAAGTGGTACAAGTTCGCGGTGGAGCGCAATGCTGTCATGGTCGAGTCGTTCTGGGACCAGATCTACCACGACCTGCAGCCTTTCTGGGCCCAGCCGCCACCGTTGATCCGCAAGGAGGCTTGGGACTATGAGATGACCATCCATATCCGGGACGGCAATGCGACCAGTAGCAGCAACTGGTTCTGGACGAAGATCTGGCGGGAGATGATCGAGACGATCCAGCACCTCTTGCCCGACATGGATCTCGCCCTGAACGCCATGGACGAGCCGCGGCTCGTCGTGCCCTGGGAGGACATGGACGCGTACATGACCAAGGCTGCAACGACTTTCGGCCTGGCTGATCCCAAGGATGTTGTTGACCAGTTCCAGAAGCTGGCTCCGCCTGGAGAAGGCGCAGACAAGTCAGAGGTGTCAGCCAACAAGGATTGGGAGAACACAAGTAAGTCGTTCCCTTAGCATGTTCTTTGACATCCCTTGTTTGCTGCCGTTGTGCGGCCGACTTGCATAGCATCTCGCTAACCTCAAACCCGCCGTGTAGAACCGTATTGGGAAATTGCGCGCCGCGGCTGCGCGCCCGACAGCCCGGCTCGCAAAGCAGACGTGATGCGTGACTTCGATCACGCCCCCGTCATCTCCTCGTCCCTCGCCGCGCCGCACCAGTATCAAGGCTTCGTATCCAACTTCACCCTCTCCACCGAGTTCTGCCACCAGCCCGATCTGCAAGGTCTTAACGGGATCTTCGTCGAGCCGCTCTCGGTGTCCGCGACCAAGGTTCTGTTCCCAATGTTCGGAGGATCGAAGCTCGCCGTGAACAACGAAATCCTGCTGCCGGCGCCGATGTACTGGAATGAGGAGGAACGCTTCACCGGCGGAAACGACCATGGCGGGCCCTGGGGGGAGAAGAAGAACGAGGCGATATGGAGAGGAGTTGCTACAGGTGGCCATAATCGTGCGACCAACTGGAAGGCTTTCCAGCGACACCGCTTCGTAGCAATGAACAACGGCACCTCGCTGACGGCAGCGGAGAACTGGTCGGAGCTGCCGCCCAACTTCGTCCTGCCGCCCGCATCGTACCACCTCCAGGCGCAGACGGACGGCAAGCTCGGGAAATGGGTCGACACCTGGGCGAACGTGTCGTTTGTCGATCTCATGTGCGATCCTAAGCAGACGGAAAATAAGTGCAACTACACGTCGCCACACTTTACCGTGACGAAGGGCATCAAGATGAAGGAGCAGTTTGGGTCAAAATACCTGCCGGACATTGACGGCAACTCCTTCTCGGGCCGCTACCTGGGCTTCCTCCGGAGCACGTCGTTGCCAATCAAGGCGACGCTGTGGCACGAGTGGCACGACAGCCGGCTGGTTGCGTGGAAGCACTTTGTGCCGATGGACAACCGGTACGAGGACTGGTACGGCATCATGGAGTACTTCCTGGGGTATGGCGACAAGGTGCCGGGCCACGATGCTGCCGCCGAGAAGATTGCCAGCGATGGTAAGGCCTGGGCTGAGCGAGTTTTGAGGAAAGACGACATGCAGATCTACGTGCTCCGCCTATTGCTGGAGTATGCGAGAGTCACGGACGAGAGGAGGGAGAAGATGGGCTGGGTGGGCGACTTATTGAGCGACGGCAGCAATGCCGCCAGGTGAACACGTTAGAATTCGTGGCTTGACGCAAGGGATGGACGATAAATACTACGACCACCACCACCACCACCACACAAACACACACCACGACCGACATACCACTACCAACGACAGCCATCATTTCGATACCAGCGCTTTCGATAAAAACCTTCACTTCTTAGACTGTAACATATTCAACTTGAGGGAGTTTGTTGCTGTATCCGTTACAACTGCACAGATTGCGCGGAAGGAGAGTTGAGAGATCTGGACAGAGAAGAAGGGCGAACCATGGCATGGCATTTTAACAGCAGAGTTATCCCGAGGAATGAAAGCAATGCGGAGTGGTGTTTGAGGCGTTTGGGGAAAAGCACAAAGCCCGGGGGGGCCTGAGATGAAGAGTTGCCTCCCCCGGAGCTGCGTATCTAGCATAGGCGATATTTTCTTGATGTTGTGAAGATGTATTTGTAGCTGGACATAGGCGAGTCGAGTCGAGTTGGCGGTATCACGACGGACTACTCAGCCGCATCTATACCATGTTGTACACATTGATACAACACAAATTATCATTTTGTCACGTTCCAGTTCATTGCAGTGGTGCAACCTGACGAGTAGCAAGATTGAGACAGAACTTGAGATGTGGATATTATAGACATACGTAGACCTGCCGCCATATACCCGGAACTCAGCCTTTTGGGAGAGGGCGAGTTCGTGCCTCGTACAAATTATTCCAGAGTTGTATATACGAATTTTGTTGATATTTCTTCTTGTAAACATCCTGTTGAGGATTAGACGAGCTGCTCTCTTCTCAAGCGCACGTGTCCTTTTTTGTTGACAGCCCATTGCCGACTCTAGACACCAAATGATCAGACAGACACACCAGCTTTGGAAGAGTCGGCAGTGAGAGATTGACCGGACGGCCCATGGCGGAAGCATCGGGAATCCCAGGACCCCTCTGATTTCTTGTTCCCTGTTGGCCAGCTCCAAGGTCCCGAGCAACCTGCCGTTAAGTGACTAGTTTGCGAATATGCAGTCTGTTTTGGCGGGTTTTAGGTCTTATGTATCATTTTTGTCTTAGCGAATCCATTACCTAAACTACAGAGTCAGGAGCCGAAGGGAAGCGTGCGCCTCGCCAAGTCAAAGGCAGAGCTACGCAAAGCTGCGCAAGCTACGGTGGCTCGGAGGGACCGGGTGGACGCGGCACTGCCGTTAACTGCAAAGATGTCCGGACCCAGCCCTGAGAAGCGGCCACAAGACGGTCACAAGCCCCGGAGTGGCCCCGTGGACTTGTGAGAAAGCTGGGAGGCCCCCTACTTGGTGAGCACACCGCTGGGCTACTCCTGCCGTTAGGGGTATGATGCCGGCGGGCGAGCACTTTGGCTCGATGTCCCTTAGTCAATGGAGGGCTGGCAATGTCCAATGGCCGAGTTTCGATGGAATAATCGAGGCGGGTGAGCTGTGCCTATCGTAAAGACATGACAAAGAGGTTGGTCTCTTGTCTCTTGTCTCTTATCGCAGTGCATTGCGTGTGCCAGATGCAAGACTACCGAGCTACCTAGATACTCATTCAGAGCGAGATGAGAGATACCGGTATCTTATGTGTCAAGTCAAGTCAAGTCAGTGTAACTGTAACTGTATCTTGGTAGGTATGTCATGCATGTGCTGTGTGTGTTGATATGTTGACGGTGTGTGTGTGTGTCTCCTTCGGAATCTAACGGCGCTGACATGGCGACCACCACCACCACCAACCGTCAACAACACGAAGGAACATTCGTCTCGTCTCGTATATAATATCATAATATCACAAGATTATAATGTTGACTAAGAGATAGGGTAGGAATTCCAGCGTGCATTCATGCCTTTTTCTTCTTATTCTCGTCACCTTACCCTTACTAGAAAGAGGAGATACCGAGGTACTTCAGCAACGTAACTCTCCGTGTTTCGACTCTCGTCTTTGAAAAGGCTCAACCCACCGACCGCATGTTTATTAGTACTTTATTAGGTAGGGAGACACCGGGATCTCTCTGACGGCTTCCATCTGATAAATCCAGAAGCGCTGCTACTGCAGGACAAGCCGCCAAAGCCAAGCTCCACCCTGTCGGCAGCCCTAGCGAGGTACCTCAATCACCTAGGTACTGAGTAGGTAGTAGCCACAGCAGGGTTTTTAGGCGATCCCCTCCCATCCCATCCCCTGCTGTTCAGTGCTGAGCTGCCCCACCATCGACGTCGTCGGATGCAGCGTGGGGTGTGTCATTGCTGAGAGAGTCTGGTTGTGCTTAAAGACGGCAAAGCGACCACCACCATCTTGTTCCTGTCTTGCTTGACTCGCCACGATACCCTTACTCTTGCTGCTTTTCTTCCACTTATCCCCCTCTATCCTTCTGTCTTTGCTTGCTTCTAGTGACCAGGGACAATTACCGCTTCTCCTCAAGTCATTGTCACCAAAACCACAAGTGAACAACATGTCCCCCTCCGGAACAACAGGAGCTGCCCCTCCATCCACGGCAGCTTCAACATCCTTCAGCAGCCCCGGGTCGACAAAGAACGGGAACGGAAACGGCGTCTACGAGGGCCACAACGTCCAGGGCCAGGCCTACGGACACTACTCCAACAACCTCAACACCTCAATGGTCAAGTCAAACTTCCTCTCCAACCCCGAGGACCTCGGCGTCGTCGCCGTCGGCTTCTCAGGAGGCCAGGTATGTCTCGAAGCTACCTTTTCCCCCGTGGCGCAAGACTCTTCCCCGCTGCTATATTGTTGCGGCTCCTTGTCTTTGTCCTCTTCTACCTCGTTACTACCAATCGTGCAACCGGCATGCTAATATTCTTCTGTGTCTTCCAGTGCAAGCCCGGCGTTGATGCTGCCCCCTCTGCCCTCATCGAGTCCGGCCTGCTCGACCAGCTGCGCGACCTCCTGGGCTACAAGCTGCACGGCGACGACACCGTCCACCTGTACACCGACCTCGTGCCCAAGGAGGACCACCCGTACCGCGGCATGAAGAACCCCAAGGCCGTCTCCTCCGTCACCCGCCGCATCGCCGACCAGGTCTACACGCACGCCGCCGCCGGCCGCCTCGTCCTGACCCTCGGCGGCGACCACAGCATCGCCATCGGCACCATCGGCGGCTCCGCCCGGGCGGTGCGCGAGAGGCTGGGCCGCGAGCTGGCCGTCATCTGGGTCGACGCCCACGCCGACATCAACACCCCCGAGACCAGCGGCAGCGGCAACATCCACGGCATGCCCGTCAGCTTCCTCACCGGCCTGGCCAAGGAGGACAAGGAGGAGTATTTCGGCTGGATGCAGGATGAGAACCGCATCTCGGTGCGCAAGCTCGTGTACATTGGTCTGCGGGACGTCGACCCGGGCGAGAAGAGGATCCTGAGGGAGAATGGCATTCGTGCGTTCAGCATGTTCGACATTGATCGGTAAGTTCGCGGAGGGAGTATCTAGGCGTGGGGGACTTGGTCGCTAACATGTGTGTTTGTTCGTAAGGTATGGCATCGGACGCGTTATGGAGATGGCCCTGGCCCACATCGGCACCGACACGCCCATCCACTTATCGTTCGACGTCGACGCGCTGGACCCGATGTGGGCGCCGTCGACGGGCACACCGGTTCGCGGGGGGCTGACGCTGCGCGAGGGCGACTACATCTGCGAGTGCGTGCACGAGACGGGCAACCTGGTGGCGGTGGACCTGGTCGAGGTCAACCCGAGCCTTGCCCCCGAGAACGACCACGGCGCCCACGAGACGGTCCGGGCGGGCTGTTCACTGGTGCGGTGCGCTCTGGGAGAGAGTCTGTTATAAGGTCGCGGGGTTGACGGGAGGAGAAGAGATGGGAGAGATTACAACACCCGACAAACTACACACCACCGCATCGCATTGTGCATACCATACCATACCATACCAGATCATACATTACCATCATGGGCAGGAGTCTTGCTTGGGGCGACATGGAGTTGGGACAGGAACAGGAACGGACGAAAGAAATAAGCAAAGCACCTGGAAAATAGGAAATAGGGAATAGGAGACGGGCGGCTACTCTGGCTAAATCTAGAGCATCACCGTCACCCGGGTGGGCAAGAGGCAGGGAAGGATAAAGTAGAGCAAGACATGGCATCTAGGACAATCAGATATGCCATGACTCCCCAGTTGAAGTTGTGAGCTTTGTGTTGAGATGGAGGACAATGCGGAAGACGAGGCTCTGAGCAGAGGCGGTAACGATATACTTAGGATCGCCAACCCCCCCTGGTCGCAAGGCAGACAGGAACAGGAACAGGCCACGCAGAGTGCCACAGCGTCCACGTGCTACAGTACAGTGGCAATGACAGTACAATTGACCATGGCGATCAGATCGGACTGCTCATACGAGCGCAATAGCCTCAGCCTCCCACATGTAAGTGCGCATGGACCATGATTGTTGTATGACACGAGGCGGGTGATCCTGTCGTTCCCTGCAAACTTCTCGGGGCATCAACGAAGGAGTGTTCCTCTGGGGAATGTAGACGTACCTACTACGTAGGGTTAACCCAGGAGAAAGAGAGAAGAGAGACGTGCAAACAGACAGACAGATAGACAGACAGTCAGTCAAGAGCATCTCGAATCCAACAACGACTAACTCAGGCACCATTTGGGACGATCCCCCTGCCACCTCAATTGTGGTGCACGCACCAGTGACACCACCCCCACCAACGGCGCCTACAAACCCCGACTACCTACCTACCTAGGTAGGTACCGAGGGTATCTAGTGGCAGTCGCAGCACCCAAATAACCCCCCAACCACCCCGCTAAGAATCGACATCTACACCGAGGATCACTGTAGGTAGGAGCAAGATCTTGTTGCACCGGCAGGTAGGTAGATCAGGTAGATATGTACAGTAGGTACATTGAGGTCGATGCTTGGCTTATAGAAGATATGATAATCCAGTGCTCAATTGTTGAAGCAGATCATTGGCATCTAAGCCAGAGGGTCGACTAAATACCTACACTAGTAAATAGAGTGTTGTTGCTTGATCTTGATGCTGTAATCTTAGAGAAGCCATCGTGATCCCTGTCGACAGCCACAAGATCCCAGTCAGTCAGATACTTACATGTACAGCCCCTCCTTCCACCACCAGCCACCTCCAAAAAGACTCGTAATATCCTGGGAGTTAAGTATCTGGGTAAGTTAACACAACACGCGCGTGCCGCGAATCCCTGTGCCCGATCCCTCCGAGAATCAAGAGCGCAAAGGACTGGAAAGACTGGGAAGACCGGATACCGGGATACTCGATCATCATAACTCATCTCCGTCTCGTTCCCTTGTTCTTGTTCTTCTCCTCCTCTCTTCCCCCACCTTGTTCAACTTTCTTTTCGTTGCATCGCTGCATCGTCTCATTACGAGACCGAGCCAGAAACCAAGACGCAGCGCATCGTCTCCGTTGGGTTGGGTTGGGTTGGGTTGGGGAATATCTCGCCCCTCGCCTCTACGTGTAGCACGCATGTGTCCGGCGCACGCACGGTGACAACTGAACCCAGGCCACCACGCTACGTCGCCGCATCGCATCGCATCACATCGCGCGTCGCAGAATCTCACCTTTACCTCGCCTTATCTTGTCTTGCTCTGGCAAGAAGGCGATAGAAGGGAAAGACAGGACGAACTGCCGCCAGCGCAACCTCGAACGGCTCGCCGCGGCCCAAACCGCCCATTGGCATTGGCCCGGCTCCATTCCCCGTTTCCTCAGAGGTTCAGGTTCAGGTTGTCTCAAGAAGCAAGAAACAAGGTCCACTCGACAAACGACGTGGCACTCGCTCCCGCCAAACGATACCAGAGCGCGCCAGCCCAGTTCAACCAACATCTACATACCTGCAAGATACCTGCGGCAGGAAACAAGCACAACACATCATTCAGAAAGAGGGGACCTGGCCCGCGAGGGTTACAGTGATAGAGTGTCGTCCGTTTGTCCATCGGGACGGGGACGCTTCAAGAGCGACAGCATCCGGTTGTAACCATTGCAGCCCCATTGTATCAATTCCAGTGCTCAACCAAAGAGAGTACACCTGGGACCCCTCGTCTTCGAAGTGTCTAATACCAATTCACCGTCACTTGCTTCGATTCGCAGAGGACATACATTACAACCAGAGGCCGGGCTTGGAATTGGGCACCACCAAGAATCCGGATTAATAGCCCCCAGAGCCCCACGAGCTCTTCCGGCAAAACCCCCTAGACTTCGATCTCAAAGCGACACGATCCTCGTCTGATCTGATCTGATCCTTCACTTCGTATCTCGTCTGCCTGCATCACACAATGGCGTCCACGGTGACGTCCGGGTCGCTGGTCCTCGAGCGTCGCTTTGAGCGCGTTCACAAGTACCACTGGCCCGCCGTCCAACTCAACGTATGGATGCTCATCATGCTCGTCGCGTCATGTACCATCCTCGGCATATTCGCAACATTCGTTCAAATACAGCAGCAACTACAGCTCAACATACCTTGGTGAGTGTCCACGGTCTTTCCACTGCAATGCATGTTCCAGATTGAAGAGCTTTTACTAACACGAGTGTATCACAGGTACTTTCCATACTACATGACCGTCTCCGCCGTCGCGATATTCTTCATCGGCATCCTCCTCTGGCTGATCTTCCAACGGCGCCTCCTGCCCTCGATCGTCATGATAGGTGGCTTCATGCTGTTTGTGCTGTGGCTGGTCGGCCTGATCGTCGTCTCCATCCAGCTCTGGGGGCCCTCGGGCTCCGTCAGCGGCAACTGCAACATCGCCGTCTTCAACCAGAACCCAAAGGGCCAGACGCTCGAGACGCTGGCCTGGATGGAGCAGAAGAACATCTGCCAGAGCTGGCAGGCCGTTTTCGCCATGGGCCTCGTCGGCGCCATCTTCCTGCTGTGGCTGATGGTCATGGCCTACCAGGTCTTTGCCGACGAGGGTGACTAGCAGTCTGCGTGGTAACGACGGGGGATGGTTCCATTCATGATTTACGCTGGAGTTTTCTTGCACATATTTATCCTTATTCGACAAATGCTACAATTTCAAACGATATATACAACCTTCACATACGAGAAACACAGTCGCCGAGACACTCAATGCGCGGAGGTGTAGTAATGGAGGTGGGACTGCATAGAAGGAGTTTAGAGGTGGAGGTTTTGCTATTTGTCATTTGGGCGGCTTCCCGATGCATCATTCAATGCGATCATGCTGGATGCTTGGGGGGCATGTGGTTTAGGACGAGGAATGACATCAGTATGATTATTGACGCGGGAACGACATCAGTGTTATAAGGCGAGGCAAGACAGGCATTGTCACATATTGAAGCAGCATATCGTACAGCTCGAAGTATTGAGAATTAAGTGTATTTATGATCACATGCCCTCAGGGGAGCAAATTGATCTTGATATCTCATTCAATTGCCGGTGCAACTCAATCTAGCCGCACGTTTCCCATTCCAGACGCCATGTGTTGTGTATCCCTTGCATTCGGAGCTCTTCCGTCTCGCAGGTCATGTGAGACACTGTAGTAATACACGTATGGTACACTTGTTTAGTTGGAGACCTTGGGGTCGACCTTCTTGCCAGTGGCCTTCTCAAAGAGGCCGCGGGCGCCGTCGGTGATCTTCTCGCCGGTGTTCTTGTCGACGTTGTGGCCAGACTTCTTTGCGCCCATGTTGAAGGCTACGAGGAAAGCATTGTTAGCAATCTGGCCGACTGACTGCAGACTAGACCTGCGACTGTGATGGTGGGAGAAAACTCACCCTTGTCAAGGTAGTCGTCCTTCTGGCCGGCCTGGGTGCCCTGGGTGTTGACGGTGTTCTGGGTGGGATCCATTGTGATGAAGTTGGTTTGGCTTGAAGAGCAAAAGTCTTGCTTGGTCTTTTGATAATGTGAGAGATGGGTTTGCTTGATAGAGAAGGAAAGACAAAAGTCGAAGATACGAGGGTTGTGAATGAGGACTTATATAGAGACTTTGATGCACAGAGTTCAGACTTCAGCTGGGAAGGAGCGGGCATTACATCAGAGCTTGGAAGCTGCGACTCTGGATCCCCCCAATCTCAGCCAGGCTTGCGATCAAATGTCTCTACAGTAGGAAAAGACTGGAGCCAGGAGACTGGACACAGCCAACCAACCAACTAATCCTTGAGACTCAAACGTCCAGGTGTGCAGCCAAGAAGACAGTATCTTGATTCGCCGGCTGATAAGAGCAAGCTTTCAACGGTGTCAAGAACCGGCTTGTGATAGCCGGGCGATGATGTAGGCGATATGGATGCTACCGTACTAGATATTAGTGTGATAGTGGGGGAGGGGCATTGCTGGAGATGCGCTACGTCATTGTCTCACCTCAAAAGCCGGAAACCGTCAAGGTGCATGGAAGCTTGTGATAGTACAAGGCACAGAATCATACATCGGTGGAGCTTCACGGACGGATCTGGAAAAAGATTTGAAAGTCATCCAGGGCAACTCCCATCTTTGAGTTCTGGAGTCGCGTTGGTGATGGCGAGATTGGCTGAGATCGTCAGGGTACACTTCCTAAGAATAGCTCCGCGGCCTCGTCCCTGCTTGGCACATCGAGGCGGCTCTTAGTATATGGTCTCGGTAGTTGTAGACTATCCTCGAGTCCCATTCTATGAAGGGAGAATGAATGAAGCAATGCAAGCTCGTCTATCGGGACCCCCACGCAACCTCCCCCTGTACTACGATACGAGCCAATGTTGCATGCCGAGATGCGATCAAGAAAGTTCATGATTGTCTAGGCTAGTTATCTGCTTGGAGCTCACTTGAGGCTTCCGGGATTGGTAAATCGGTGGGAGACGATGTCATGTTACTTCGCTGGTCTGGTAGGAACAATTATTCCTCCACGATCATGCTATAGCCCCGAGATTTGCCTCTCGACGCAAGGTCGGCCAGTTTCCATCATCATTCTCGTCATTGTTGAGCAAACCGTGCTTTCTCTGCAAATGATCACGACCTATGCATTATGCCACACATAACATTACTC